AATGGATAGGGCTTTGGATGCTTCACCGTCTTCAATCCCAGCTTCTGTACTAATGCCTCAGATATCAGATTTTTCTGACTCCCTGGATCTACAATAGCATCCACTAAGCTGGTCTTGACCTGCAATTTCAGAACAAAGAGCTGCTCCCTCGGGTCGTCATCTTCCTTGGTAGCCTGCTTCCCCGCCATAAGGTTGAGACTGCTATTGGGTTCGGTCATCCCGGGAACCTCCTTCGGACCCTGTGCTATCACGTACGCCTTCTTCTCCTCCTTCTTCTTCAATCCTTTAGGCTTCAGATGAGGATACTTATCCCAGCAACGATCGGCCACATGCCCTGTCTGCTTGCAGTGATTGCATGTCAATCCCGTTTTCCCCGAGTCAACCTTCTTCTTCTCATCCTTAGACTGAGAGCCAACCGTCTTGCTCCCCGATGGTTTGGAATCCCCCTTTGTCTCATTGCCCTTCTTCTGCCTGCCCTCAATGGCAATGGCCTTCACGCTCGCCTCTGCGATTGTCTCCACTGAAAACAGCTTCATCTCCTTCCGGATGTAATCATTCAGACCCGCCATGTACTTCATGAAGATGGGATACTCGTCGGTTGCGATGTTTAGAACCATCGCCTGCTACTGGAACTCCGTCGTATACTCCTGAACGGTCTGATTAAACTTTTGGCGCGCAAGCCATACCACTTGTACCAACGCTCCTCAAGGAACCCTACTGGATAGAACTGTTTACGAAGTAGTTCCTTGAACTTGTTCCACGACGCCGCTTTCCTCTCCTGTTTGCAATAGGATTTCCACCACGTCAACGCGTGCCCGGAAAGCTTCAGTGTCGCGAACACTATCTTCTCCTTGGACGAATATCCGTAGAGAGTGAAGTACATCTCCATACGTTCGATCCAATCATCAAGCTTCTCCACGTTGATACTCCCATCATAAACAGGAATCTCAACCTTGAAGTCAATCTTCAGATTTTGGTAATTGTTCTTACCCCTTTGATATCCAGCAGTCTTGACAATCTCAGTCTCCCCCTCTGAATCAGATTCCTCGTGTTCCTCGTCGGATTCGACGAGTTTCTTCTTGCTCTTCGAAGAAGATTCCTCCTTTTTGTCGCCTCCGTTGATTAGATCCACGAGTTGGGTAAGAGTCGTCCCGATCGTCTCAATCTGTCTCTCCATGGCATCAAGTCTCGCTGAATTATCTGCTTCAGTCATCTTCTCCTTCCTTAATTTCTGGACTCCCTCCAAAGAAATAAGGATCTCGCCAAGCTTCTTGTATTGTGAGCGAGTAAGGACCATACACAGGTTCCCCCTTCACAGGATCTAGGCGCTCTGATACCAACTTGATACGAGTTGCCGTGCGAGCACTCTTGATCGCGGAATTATCAAGAGTGGGTAAAGAAGAAGAACGACAGAAGAACACAAGAGTTGAATTAGGGCGAAGGAAAATACCTTCTCTAGATTATGAGAATCAATTGGATTTTACAAATCTCTCTCTCACAATCTCTCTAGATCAAAGAACAACCTCCCTGATCTCTTTTCTGATTACAAACTGAGTTCTCAACCCTAGAAAAGTCGTGTTTCTATTTATACTAAACAGAAATCCCAACTGGAGCAGGAAACAGACCCAGGCCCGGATCCGCGACGCGGTCGACCGCAGTGCCCAAGTCGGTCGACCGGTCAGAACGACGAAATCTGGAAAATCGATTACAGGGTTCTCCGGTCGACCGCAGTGCCACCATCGGTCGACCGATCTCAGTCCCGAGACACAGTTGGGGTCCGTGCACGATGCGGTCGACCGCCGTGACCACGCCGGTCGACCGGACAGAGTCCAACTGTAATTTCTGCAGTTTTGATGAATCCTTTCGACTTCGTTGCTTCCAATGGCCTCGTCCACGACTCCTCTACTCTATTCTCAAGATACCATGAGAATTATCTATCCTCAAGCTCCCATGAGGATCGCTAAGCTCCCGAAGAGAAGATACACCCGTATCAAAAACTCAAAATCAGTAATGAGTCGACTCATGACTGAGATGAGTCGACTCATGACCTCATACGAGTCGACTCATAACTGATGAGTCGACTGGTCAGAGACGAACTGAGAACTGGGCATGGTTTCGTGAGTCGACTCATGGCAGGCATGAGTCGAGTCAACCTGATGAGTCGACTCATGTACATGTACGAGTCGACTCACATGCTAAAATCTGGATACTTTGACTCTTCGATTCTCTGCCTCGTTTCTCGCTCCAACCTGCGTTCCCTTGTACTGTTTGACACCTCCATTCTCATGCTATCATGAGAATCATCTATCCTCAAGCTCCCATGAGGATCGCTAAGTTCCGAAGAGAAGATACACCTGTATCAGAGAAGATTTGTTTTGGCATCTCCATTCACGTGATTACGATACTCACGTATTTTAATTTGGTAAAAATAAAAAAGGTCATGTAACCAATGTTAGCGGATACGACCTCTAGGTACCTTGAAAACTATCGTTGAAAATTGATCCATTAAAAAATAGTGCATTAATTGCTATTTAATTATTTGATTATTTTTTATGGATTAAAATCACCTCAAAACATCTCACATTCATACGAGCAAATCTTACTCAAAGCATAGGAGTATTTCCAGTAGGAATTCTATCAGCACCACTTCTATAGGAGAGGGTGATTTACGTTATAGATAGAGTATGCAAAAATTTTAAACTAACCTTTTAACCACACATAAATGATATATACATCATTCCATTCTATGAGATGTTCTAATGGAGTCTTTACTTCATTATGAATTCTATAAGCACCACTTCTATAGGAGAGGGTGATTTACGCGGTGGATAGAGTAGGTAAAATTTTTAAACTAACCTTCTAGCCACCCATAAATAATATATAGATCATTTCATTCTCATTCTATGAGGTGTGCTAATAGAGTCTTTACTTCATTATTTCCACACCGATTTTAGATGTACGTCTAAACTATCATTTTCCCTTCCATCTTGTAAGAATTTACACGAGTGCTTTCTATTGGAAAGGAAGCAATGACGGATTTATTAGCAATGGGCTACAGGCCATTAGCATATTCTAAACAACTTCAAGTCAGCCCATTAGCATATTGTAAAGTTCGTGGCATTATAATGCCACGCCCGAAGTTGCAACTTACAGGCTTGTGGTGGGGAAATCCAACTTTTGGACATCAAGGTCGTTTTATCATGGCGTGAGCTACTAAGCTAGGGTCTTTCCTTGTGCAGTTGTGTGGCCTTGTTTGTCTGCAACATCATGAGTGAAGCCCAACAACTCGGCCTAATTGCTTTATATGCTGTGGCCTAGCTAATTTTAGATGTTAAGCCCAAACCGGTAAGACCATAGGATGACATTAATATTTAAAAAAAAAAAGGTGGGGCTATTACAACAAATTTTCCGATCAAACTCAAAGACCTATACCTCCTCAAAAGTTCTGAGACAACGGGTTCACACCTGACCGTATTTTTCCCCGAGAATATTAATAGCTACACTACCCTCAACTAGATTATAAGAGAGAGAAGCGTAAGCTCCATTAGTGAGCCATCGATTTTGAGGAAAAGAAGGAAGAAAATAGAAAGTAATATAGAAGTAATAGTGCGGTTATCACTACTCTTGTCTCAAAATTGTTCCCGTATGACTTAGCGTCTTCCCTTGTAGGAATAGTAGTGTAGTTATCACTACTTTTGTCCCAATATTGTTCCCATGTAGCTTAGCGTCCTACCTCAACTTTAGTGGCTGATAAATATTGAGAGACTTGAGAAAACTTGATAATCTCATGTAGTTATCACTACTTTTGTCCCATTATTGTTCCCATGTAGCTTAGCGTCCTACCTTAATTTTAGTGGCTTGTAAATATAGAGAGACTTGAGAAAACTTGATAATCTTATGCATTGCTTGAGGAGTTTTAAGTACAAAACTAAGTAGATAACTTCTACTTTCCTGAGCAATGCGGAACTTAAATAAAGTAAAATAAGAAGCATAACTACTATATTTAACACCCCATCTCAAACTGTACTTGGGTTATAAAGGCAATTTGCCAAGAAGGAGCGTGTGGTGCTCTCCGGTGAGAGCTTAGACAGAGACAGTAAAAGCGTAACTGTCCGATATTTAACAGTGGCATTCTACATCAGCTTCAATTGTGTCCTTAGTAGTAAGTACATGATAGACAATTTAGTGGTGCCTCGTAACACAACTAGAATGTGGATCCATCAAGTACCTGAGCAACACAAACTAATCGTCTTCAACGCATCAAGTAATCAAGTACCTGAGCAACACAAACTCCTTAAATGCTTCTCTTTAATTAATATCTGTTAGTCTAAGTGGCAGGTTTTTTTTTCAGATGCCACGACCGGTTTGTTGCTGCGGGGGTCAGGTCTCCTACACTGCAAAACATGAGGCGCAGACGTCAGATAGGAGACTTTCAGCCAATAGCTTCAAGATGTCAGTCTGAGGGCAACGGGCTCTTTTGAAAGAAGAGGCAGAGACAACCCGAATGATGGTGTGCACACCAACGAACCATGGAACCTATATCGCAGTCTGACGTACATGAAGACGCATTAGAGCTCGACCAAAGCCCCTGTGACGCTCATATCAACACGTTACAGTTGGAGGAAGTAAGGAAAAAATGTATATATCAACTAACAGAGAGGCTTCTGAACCCAGACAGAGAGG